ATTAAAATTTTTTTTTTAAATTTTAACGAAAATATATGAATAAATTCAAACGACATAACATTGTTTAACCGAATCGGTATTAATTGTTAGATGTACAAAACCAAATTTGAAACATTGGGTCAATTAATAGTATACATTTATCCATTTTTGTATAATAATAGTTAAATATGGATTAAGATTTTAAAGACAATAAAATTAATGTAAAGAAATGTACTCAATATTTTATTGGGTAGGTATGTATGTTTAATATATGATACCATTTTTTTCGTACCTTTCTCAAGTTTTTAAGTTTTTTTTAAAAATATATAGTTAGAATCATGTAGGTATTATATTTAATTTTACTAGGTACAATAATCAGAAAAAAGTTAATATTTTCAAAAATCTAAGCGCCCAACTGTTTAAGATATTATTTTTCGGAATATCATCATCATCGTGTTCATAAAATACTAAAACACATAATTCAGATCAAAATTTTAAAATCCTGTAACTATTTTGTTTCCAATTAAAATAAAATATACATGATCGAAAATATTTTTATTTTAACTACTGGGAAATTCCACCGTATCCCGAAACAACAATAACGGTGTGCCCAATTTGCAATCGTCATACACCTATAGAAATAGAAAGATAATACAATACCGAATATATTATGAGACTTTTTGATTATCATTTCTATCTCCAAACCTAATATACAAAAAAAAAGTAAATAGTCTCAAGAACCATTAGGTACCTACATGACTACATGAGTATAATATTGCACTTAAATATAATTCACCTTTTTGGATTTAGTTTACAATAATGTTATAATGGAAATTATAAGAGGACGTGCTGCTTATTGCGGGGTGCACGTGCCATGAAAACCTTTCTCCCTTCCGAAATAATAAACCAGAGGAAAATATTAATGAAAGGCAAGCATTCGCACATGCGCAAACAGTACAGCGACAGGGGTGAAACTTTTTGTTGGGGGTGCTAAAACTTATAACACTCACTTAACTCCGCATTTTCTTTTTCATGTAAAAACAAAAGCCAATAAATATGATTGTATCGATGTTGAAGATTGTTATTTATTATTTTGTAACCCACAAAACTATTTTCTAGTCGCACCACTAGTGTATATACTCGTATATAACTTATAAGAATAATACTTAGAAGTTAAAGGCATAACAATAATATAAATCTAAGTACAACATTATACGCTAAACAGGTCAGTGTAATGTTTTCTGTGAATCCAATTATTACTCTTAATTTGTCAGTAATTATTATAAACAAAATGTATTTTTATTTTTATAATAATATTTTTTAAAAAGATTTTTCAGCCATTTAAACTTAAACATTTTTATAAAAAAAATTTTTGAATTTAATAAAAAAATAATATTGGTTTTACAATAATATCATATGCAGATATAATGTGTAGTTTTTATTATTGTGTCCACAATTATGGTTTAGAACAAAAAAACGACTTATTTTTTTCAATCTTGAAGGTGGTTTGACTTGTAGACAAATGTATCAATTTAGTACTTTTAGAAATAAATGGAAAAAACGAAGCGAGAAAATGAGAATTTTTATGCAACAGTGCAACACCAATAATTTTCGATAAAATCGATTTTTTGGTTATTGTTGTAGTAATTCAACAACATTCTCCATTGAGAAGCTTAGCAATTTAAAATAATATATATGCCAAGGTTCCTCATAATATTATTTTGTTTTTTTCAGTTTAAATTTGACAATATTTTAAGCTCGATACATCAATTTACTTGCGATTTAGTCTCTGAAGAAGGCACTCAGCTGACAATGTGCAAGCAAGATATCAGGTTGGCAATCCACCTACGAGCCTATGATGAGGAAGAACAATTCCAAATTTCAAGTCCATAAGTTATGTCATTGAGTGAAAAATTAACTTAATGCGTTAAAACTATTATGGAATTTTATATTATTTTACTGGAAATATGACACAACTATTGTATTCTTACAGCTCCCCCCCCCTATTTTCTTCTTTAGGGTTTGAATTTTCAAAAATCCTTTTTTAGCAGATAACATACATCATAATAGCTATTTGTGTTATACTGTTATGTACCAATTTTCAGCACAATCCATTCAGTGATTTGGGATGTGCGTTGATAGATCAGTCAGCCAGTCCCTTTAACATTGTATATATAATACTTAATAAAAGATACATACGAGTATAGTATAAACTATAAGATATAACAGGTAAACTATCATGTCTCTTTAACTCAGGTATATTTATTATCATTTTATAGTATCAAATATTCATATATTAACAAATTATCAATTATTATAGTTATCTACTAAATAACGTGGTACACTTGGAACCTACAACTTTATTCTACAATAAAAAAAAACAGCAATATTTTGCTCATCAAATCTTTATAAAAGAAATTTTAATAAAAAAAAATTGTAATAACAGAATTTCAAATTGGTATAGTGTCGTTGACACAAAAAACCTCCAACGTGCTATAGGTATAGAACCCAATTATTTCTTAGGACACAGTTTAAAAAAAAATTAAGTGTCCAATGATTTACAAAAACAAATTTTTAAATTTTTAAAACTTGCTTTACCTATAGGTACCCATAGAAAATTTTAATTTGAAAAAAAATCGGAATAAAGGATTCAAATATTGGAAATATTGTACCTATACATTGTTAATGTTATGCCATATTGGAGGTTATCTGGAGGTATATATATTATATAGGTTTATTTAGTTTTTTTCCAAGCACTATACACAGGGAGGTTTTTTGAATGATAGCTCATTGATCATAATATTATACGTGCCTTATTTATGCATATTTAAACACAGAATGTGTTTCATAACCGGTATAAAGTAGGTAATTCACACTAACACATGGAAGGTTTTATTTATTAGTTGTCATTAATTCTGCGATGAAAATAGACTATAGCATATCATCTTACTGTAGCTTATTTTTGCCTGAATCCAGGGACTCCAAAGCCTCAAAATTTGGTTCATATACAGATGTATAGAGGTAAAGAGGTCAACCGCAATATGCCATATCGTTTATTATTCTTATAAATTACTATTAAAACGGTTTTAACGTAATCTGGTATACAATTATACATCACTGATGTATCACCTGAAGAGATATTGTTGAATATTAAAGACTTGGGTAAATTTTCAAAGAAAAATGCACGTCAGTTTTCAGCAAGTTTTATACGATATGGCGTTAAGCATTATCATTAATAACTTAATATAATTTTTCTTTCTTAAATATGCATTATAATTTAGAAAAATTAGACATGCATAAAAATTTTAAATGGTCCTAATATGCAAAAATATGCAACATTTAATTTTGCATACCAAAACATTCGCTTAAGATTCAAATTTGTAGCTTATCTAGCTACTTTTTGGACTATTAAAACAAAACATGCAAATGCATATAAATCCGGGCCCTATATATCAGTTATCAATTTATCATACTTACTTGTATTGTTATTATAGTTACTATAGTTTATCAGTTGAACTTACCAACTTAGTTGTACTTCTAACATTATAAATACAGTCCATTACCGTAACGTTGTGGATTAAAACTCCAATCAACAATAATATGTTAACTTTGGAACTGATTGCTTAATTCCAACAGTTGAATCGTTTTATTCAAAGCAAATGAAAAGGAAATAGTTGCCATATCGTGACCGGTGACAGTGTGAAGATAATACTGGTCCAAGCCGCTATTATTCAGATTCTGACAAGGTCAACTCTTGTATATAAAGTATAAACCATAGTTTTGGTGGCAATCATCACGAAATTCTCAAATTAATATTTTTTATAACGATGGAGCAAGAATCAAAAACAAAACATAAAAAATGTTTGGACAAACTAATGATACACTTTCAGTTGTATAGGAAGATCGGTCTCAGTCGCATTATAAAGCGACGATTTGTGCACGCAGGTCTCCCATGGCAGCCTTCGGCTTGATGACTTCAATGCCGGGCACCAACATAGTCAATTTATAGTCAATTGAAAAAGTACACACAAGATTTTTTATATTAATGAGGTAGGTATTTGATATTTATTTTCGAATAAAGTCTGCACAATGTAAAATACAATTCACTTCAAACATTCAAAAACAAAAGGAAAAAAAAATTAAAAAATGATAATAATGAATAGTATACTATTCTATAAACACTAAAATTGGGTATTTCTAAAGACTAAACATTAAACTATAGGTAGTATATAAATGTATTTGCTACATAATATAGTACATACATACGGATACAAACAAATTTCCATCGTCATAGTACGCCAAAAACCGTATATATATAGTGTGTCAAAAACTAGAGAAACACCGACAAATGAAATAATAACGTTAACAAAAGTTTCCAGACTTTTAGACACACACACATATATGATTTTAGAAGTTTGAAACAATGATAAAAGGATTTCATATTAACTACATTAAAAATTAAAAAATTATAATAATTATAATAATGTACCTATTTAATAATAATAAAAAATAATAATATAATTATAATAATGTTTTTGTTTTTTCAAACAATAATAAACCAAATTAATAAGAATGAAAAAAGCACTTGATACTCCTTACGAGGTCACATTAATGTTCACTATAAGTATATTATATATTTGCACCATCAGTTGAACAAGTTTTACCCGTATTATAATATAATAAGTTAAATTAATGCGAAAAATAAAATAATTATAAACAAATAAATATTTATAACATATAGATATTTTAAAAAAACTACTTAAACGACAATTATATTATTAGTGTCTTTCAAATATAAGCTATATATTTATAAATGTTCATTATATTCTAATAATAACGTTTACAACATATATAATATATATTATATATATATATATTTATGCATATATAATATATAATGTATAGTTGTTCAAAATTACAGCGTTTTTTCTCTCTTTTTTTATACGTAAAACATAGATGTTTTTAGGTCGAACTTAATATTCTCGTAAAGGTAAACATAATAATTGATCTATATTTATGTGTAAATATCAACATTGTAAAGGTATGGACTAATTAACAATGATTTTGTAGTAGGAACATTAAATGCAACATATTTCTTTGTAGAATAATATTAATGCGTTCCTACAAGTTTTACAGAGATATTAAGAGATCCAAAATCAGTACATTTACATACACTTCGTATCTATATTATTATATAATATAACACATTGTACTTATTGTAATATTGTATATTATACATAAATACGAAGACAGTCAATGTATTTACATATTAAAAATTAATTTCTAACAATATACATGTTGTTGATTGACGCTGATATACATTAAAAATATGTTTACAATTAAATTAATTTATTATAGTACAGTAGACTCGATAGAATCTCGAAAGTCAACAAGAGAAAAAAGATACGATTCAGTTCGACGTGTCGAAAAATTCGAGATGTTGAAATTCGAATAATATCGAAAGTCTACTGTAGGTATGTGTATATGTATATGCGTGCACAAATACTAACACACACACACACACACACATACACACGCGTAAATTATTTTCACACACAATAAATATAATAATTATTTAAATATAAATTGGTCCTCAGTGAGTTTCGTCACTTTAGGATAATATGATTTGTACTGTTTTTTTCTAATTATAGGCAATTAATGTATAAGGCATACAAATGAGGTAGATGATTTTCTGTTTTGTATTATTTTAATTACGTTAATAATTACTAAACTTAGTCCTATGCACCTAGTAAAAGAAAAAGAAAAACAATGAAACTACACAACTTGTTGCATTTTAATAGTGTTTAAATAATATGCAATTTAATATCAATAATAATTATTATATTATAGCAAAAACTGCTCGACAGACTTTTTGTTCCTCTAGCGAGAGAATGTAATTAACTACTACCCGTATGATTTCATTATTCTATATTAAATTATATTATTAGTAATATATAGACTAAAATTGCATTAAAAAAAAAGATATAATGCGTACACAGCATATATTTTCCCAGACTAAAAAAAAAATCGTAACTATTCACGAAAGGAACGTCCAAGGGAAACGCGTACGAATCGAAATATTTGTTAAAAAATAAATAATAATAATAATAATAATAATAATAATAATACAATTAGTTCTAAAACGTAGAAAATAATAATAATTATATATATTTATACTCCTGTTTTTTGATAACAACTATCGGAACCCTCCTTTACGTCGTTCCCCCGCCCAGTGGCACGGTTCACCTAATAATATTTTGGTAAATAATGTATTATCATATCACAGATACTAAAATAATAAATGTTTCCTTTCTATAACACTAATGACGTAAAATAATAATATTAAACTTGACTATTATCATTTGGGCAAATAAAGTTCCACGTTATAGTAGGTATAATGTGTACGTATGTTGCGAAAAAATAAAATAAAGATTTGGGACAGTCGCATAATAATAATTATTAAAGTAATTATCTAATACGAAATAATAATAATAGTAATATCATAAATAAGTATAATAATCATAAATTGTGATGATAATATTATTAAATATATAATATACTACGATCGTTAACGTTTAAATTGAGGCTTTGTTGGCGTATTGTATTACCGAACTATAACGGCTGCACTGCGCTTCTTTCTTGGCGGTGCTCTCCATCGACTTGAGTATCATTTTCGACCGTTTCCGCGGTGGCAGACTCAAGTGATCCCGATCGTTAAGTTGAACGGGCGGCGGCGGCGACGGTTGTAACGGCGGTGATGGCGAAGGCACCGTGGTCAACGACACTACAGGCGGCATCTCCACGTTCTCGTCTTCGGCGGTGTACCGAACGGGCGATATGACTGCACGATCTTCGGCAGCCATCATCATGACGTAATCCACGTGGTGCTGTCGCTGTTGTTGTGCGGCAGTCTGCATCGTGTGGAACGACTGTTGTTGTTGTTGTTGCTGCTGCTGCTGGTGTTGTTGTTGTTGCTGCTGGTGTTGTTGCTGCTGCTGCTGGTGTTGTTGCTGCTGCTGCTGTTGGTGTTGTTGCTGCTGCTGTTGGTGTAGTTGCTGCTGTTGCTGTTGTTGGAGCTGCTGTTGTTGTTGCTGCAGGTGGTGTTGTTGCTGCTGCTGTTTCTGCTGCTGCTGCTGTTGTTGTTGTTGTTGTTGTTGTTGTTGCTGCTGCTGCTGTTGTTGTTGCTGCTGCTTTTGTTGTTGTTGAAATTGTTGTCGACGAGTCATTGGTGGTGGCGATAAGTCCATGGTCAGAGTCATCGAGCCCGAAGAGCTGCTAGCCGGACTCGGAGGTTGGTCGCAATTGTATTCGTCATCATCCTCGTCATCGTCGTAATCACTGCGTTTACGGTTTCTGCCCGGTAATCTGGGATACAGGTATTGACAAAGCTTGTTAAGTTCGGTATCGACGTCAGCGGCACCCATCACCATCACGTCATCATCGTCCTCTTCGTCCTCGTCATCATCGTCATCATCGGACTTTCCAACACCGCCACCATCGTCTTCCCGAACCATTACTACGGAAGCCGTCGCAGCTGACGACTGCTGCAAAAGAAGATTAGTGCGTTTCGGTTCGTCAGACAGCTGAAGCAATACCGCAGCGGACGTGGCTCCTGTAGACTTGTTGTTCTCCTTGTCGCTACCACAGCTCGACGAAGTCTCACCCTCGGAAGCCGCGTCTTTTTTAGACGAAGATTGCACAGTAATGACCAGTGCACCCGCGTCCGCAGCCGCTGCAGCGCTGCCGGTCACCTGGATACCGTTAGCGGCAGCCGCAGCGGCCGACGCTGCTCCACCACCACCGTTGTCCGAATGACTCTTTATGTGGCTCTCCATGGTCTTCTTGGACGTGAACGTGCCATTGCAAATTGTGCACTTGTACACTTTCTCGCCATAATGCGACACCTGGTGGAGCTTGAGCACGTGGTTGTAGCCGAACGACTTGCCACATATGTCACACGAGTACGGCTTCTCGCCTGTGTGCGTGCGTGTGTGTACCTTGAGCTGCTTGGAGCACGTGAACCCCTTATCACACGTTTTGCACACGTACGGTTTTTCGCCAGTGTGAGTGCGTATGTGAATGACCAGTTGGCCGCTCTGGATGAACGTCTTGTCGCAGAACGAACACTTGTGTGGCCGTTCACCAGTGTGTATGCGCATGTGCCGGTGCAATTTTCCACTGTGCTCAAACGCCCGCTCGCACACGTCACATTTGTACGGCCTCTCCTTAGTGTGGATGCGCCGGTGCACGCTCAGGTTCTCCTTGACCGAGAACGGTTTGTCGCAATACTCGCATTTGTACGGCTTTTCACCGGTGTGCGTTCGGTAGTGCCGGGTCAACCGGGCTGGTACCGTAAACGACTTGCTGCAGTAGTTGCACTGGAACGGGCCGTCCGTCGTCGTGTCCTTCACGTGAGATCGCAAGTGATTTTGGAAAGCGTTTTTCTGCATGAATACCTTGTGGCACACGTTGCACTGCAGAGACTTGTCAGACGCCGTGGTGGCCGTATGAGATGACGGCAGACCAGCCGGGTCGGCCGCAACCGCCGCGGCCCCCGTCTTAGCCGAGTCGATGATCACGGCCGCTTCTTCGACCACTGGCGTTATGGTGAACACCGGCAGATCCGGGCTACACACCACACGCTTGATCGCCGCCGCCGCTGCCGATCCCTCGGAAGCGTTCTCTGCGACGTCGATAGCCGTCTTCTGGTGTAGCTGTTGTTGTTGTTGTTGTTGTTGATTGTGTAGGGTTCCGGTTGTAGCAGTGGCCGGTTTCAACGGGCTAAGCGTACAGTCGATGCCAACGCGAACGAAATCTGTCGATGCTCCTCCACTAGACGAGCTCAATATCGGCATTTCCCCATTGATAAGTTCTACCATGTCGGATACATGGCCCAAAACATTTTCTATAAACATAAATAAAAAACAAAATGTCATATAAAACGAAATAAATGATAAGAAACTACATAAGCTAGTATGTTATTTATATGTAATAATCACTGTATATGATTTGTACAAAGTGAACAAATAACTAATAAGTCGTATAAAATTAAATACTGGGACTATATAATTATTATTATTTAGTTTGTTTTGTTTTTAATCATAATGATCTTTTGTAATATCGAATTGGTCACCTATACATAACTAATAATAGCTTATAACTGTTTTAACTGTTTTAACATGCTGGTTTTAACATCACTGCGCCTACTATGCATTGTATTTAAATATAGTATCATTGGGAAGACGTAATAATGCCAATATTAATTATATATCAACTGGTCTTCAATAAAGGTTTCTACTTGTAAAATTATACGCATATATCAAATACGCAGCTCAAGAGGGTGAGTTATCGAAGTATACACATCTATTTTGTAGTTATATCGTATTTTGTGTGTGTGCGAGAGTGCTTAGAATAATATTTGTGGAAAATGCGTAGTATACAATATACTCATTTGGTTTTGACCAATTATATCATTACGTATCACATGCATCACATTAATAGTTTATTGCCAATTGCCAAACATTAACACGAAGACTTAAGTCAAAAACTCACGAATTACCACGATTAAAAGAATTATGACAATCCGATGACTTTGATTATATACAATTGTACATGGTAATGTAATAATGTTAACATGTCCTACAACCAGCGGTGGTTTTGGGTGTGAGGCAAGTGAGGTGGCGCCTAATCTATAATTTTAAAGTAAATAATACTCAAAAATTATACTTATTGATTCCCCAATAGTACATATTTCGATGGTAATTTTTAAAGTATTTATGATTTTATTTGAGAAAAAATTCTTTTTAACGAAGTTTAATAATATGAAATATGAATTATTATGTATTATATTGTATATAATTTCGTGTTCATTACCAAAAATAGCAATAAACCGATAAGAAATGCACGAAATAGTTATTACGCAAACAAAAGCTGGTATTTCAGCCGGTGGCAATGTTCCGATGACGTCAGATAGGCAACGTCGAACATCGCCTTTGAGTTTGTACTTGTGTACAAAAATTACACACACAAGCGTATGTAAATAAGTAGAATTGCGCATGAGCAATGATAATCTTGAGGCTTGATTTTCATCGCCTGAGTGTATACCTACTAAAAATAGATGCGGTATACTAGTATTATGGTCAACATCAAAACATAACCAGTTGTTAGTGTTACTTCCAGGAGTCAGTACAGTCCTAATTCAACCGTTGTAATAATAATTTGTATTTCTGCCTTGTTTATAACCTATACGGCAATTATATATATAATCGTACATACAATGAAAATTATTTTTATGTTTTTAATTCCATTTATTATGAAGTCAAATTTTTCTTATGAAAGAGGGGGAATACATAAGTCGCCTCATCAAAAAAATACTATCAAAACCACCTCTGTGTACAACCGGACAAATATCATTTCCCTGAGTGTGTCATTACATTATATATTATAATAGATATCATACACTCGTAGTCATAATTTAATATTTATGTGTGTGCATACTATAATATTTTAAAAGCTCACGCCTATGTGCGTCAAATATATTTGTAATGTATAAACGCGCATACTCATATCGCTACACAAAGCGACGCGCCACCGTTTTATTGTCGATGAAATAATGTTTAGAATATATCATTATTGTAATACACTCTTCGTATAATCGTCGTCGCATTATTGTGTTGTTTTTATGCACGGGTCGTTAAGTATAAAAGCTTACTGTGTGATGATACATGCGATTAATGATTCTAGCTATATAATCCAGCACGTTAATTGTTCGACGCATTTAGGTACGTACCTGCGGTAATTTTTTCACACAGTTAACTCTCTTGTCATTGCGGAAATTCATTAATAATTCGTATTGGTTTTTAAGGATAGTGAGGGAGATTATTATTATATATAAGCAAACCGTTTGTACAGACGATGAGTTGAATGTATACGGCAGAAAAAGTTTGAATATGGTTTGGACAATATTAAAATTATGTCATCCCATACTATGCATATAACCAATAAACTGAGCACATAGATTACTCACATTTTTAAGGTCAATATTGTTGTATCTTTGGAAAATAACATGTTATAAACTATTGAATTATTATAACAATACTTGTTACATTTTTTAAACCGTTCGCTATTTTACATAAACTTTTATATAATAAGTATTAATAGCCTCATGACAAAAATTAATTTTTTTTGTAAAAACATAGGGAGTATTATGAATATCATTCAAACTGAATAAAAATTGCATAGTTTTTACAAAAACAAAAAAAAATGTATGGAGTCAGTTAAATGGATCAACGTTTGTATATATTACATAGTTAGTAGTTTTGTAGAAAATAAAAATAATCAGTGTTTTACCTATACAATATAAATATATAATATTCACAACCTATGCAGTACCGATGACCTGTCTAGAGCACGCAGGCTGCGGAGTATATAATCTTATAATATGTATATATATTATATATTACTAACAGAATAATTCTATTTTTATTCATTTCACAGGGGGCCCCAATTACGTACTTTTGGAGAAAATGTTTAAATTACTTTTCTTCGTGTAATGGTTATGTATTCAAGTAAATATTTGTTTGACATCGATTTATTGCGATGTTCCAGCCGTATCTACTGTTGATTGTGATGTTCACGGGTAACATGCAAATATATCGATATTTGGCACCACAAATGTGGGAGGAGATTAGCGAAATACTGTATTTTGCACGCAAGACGCAGACGCCCGTGAATTGCCTATTCGTGACGCCGTGCCACGCGAAATTCGCAAATTTTTGAATGTTTGTTGTTACGATTTACGAACTTACGGAAGTTTAACGCTATTCTGAAAAGTGTGTTGATAGATTTTCATAACTAGTTGATATGAACGAAACATCAACAGTTGGAACATGAATAAATCCTATATGGTTATATTATTAGGCATTCTTGCTTGAAGGATTGTTTATTAGTTAACAGTTAAAAGTTCTTGTATAGAACAAAGATATTTCAAATAAAATCAAATTATATTTAAAGACAGAGGGTATATAATACTTAATATTGTTTTTCTGATTTGTCGTTACGGATAGTATGAAATAAGAATAGATATACCAATAGAGTTGTAAAACACACACAGACATTACGGTCTGAGTAATAAATCATAAGCGTCTTGACATATAAAAATTTAAGCTATATTACGTACCACCCCGTAAAAATAATGTTAAGTAAATATATTTCAAGATTATGTACTTAAGCATATTATAATACCAAATAGGTACCAAACGAGTTAGAAAAATAAATAATTTTTGTTAATACAAGTGTTTAAAAAGTATCAATTATTATAAGTACATGCGTGTGTATAAATTACAATCAAAACACTTTAACACGGGCAATAAGAATAACTTAATCGTGTCTTACTAGTGTTTATTGTTATATTATAACGGGTATTATACTTACACCAAATACTATTTCAGACTAATTGAATAATTTAAAAGTCAAAAACAAGGCAAAGGTCCTACATAAAAGATTAACGTTAAAAATAGAAACATTTTAGTTAGCGAGTTAGCTGCTCCTCATATACAACAATTGAGATGAGTGATAAGATACGTATTTTAGATAAAATATGAATTCAATACATAAATACATATAATATAGTAATATAGTCTTAATAGTTTTGTATCAGTTGTACTAAAGTTATTTTATTATTATGATTATTATTATTTTTAAATTACAATCGGTAATTTAATACGCTATTACTATACTAATGAGAACTATTAATTTATTTCTATAAATTGCAAATCGATAAATAAAATAGAATGCATATAAGACCATCCAAAAAAATTGAGTCTTGGCATTATTTTTTAGGTAGGCATTTTTTTATTTTTGCTTACTTAATCTATAATAAGCTAGTAACTCTCTGATTAATTCGATATATATACATCATGAAGGAACTTATTAACTACGATTTAAGTATAAAATATATCTTTAAAATATTGAAACATATTATATTAGCTGTTCAAAAGATAAACATTTAACTAATAAATAAATAAATAAATAAATAAAATGAACATGGAAAAAGCACAAAAGATTTTTTTTTAATTGTTAAAATTGACATATCAAAATGACAGCATGACATATGTATTATATAATTTATACTCATAATATTACGTATTTATCAAATAAAACATTGTTTTTAATCATTATTTTTAGTCAGGTACATACATATTAATAAAATTGTGATTTTCTTTACTTTTTTATTTCATCAAAATCAAATTTATAAAATTTATATTTGACAGTAAAAGTAAAAAAATTATATCTTCGTACTTAATTAAAATGCTGTCCTACGAAAATTTTAGGTATTTTTATCAATCAAAAATATAAATAATAATATTATACTTAAGTGTTAAACATGTAAAAACATATTTTTAAATACCTATCAAGTTAGTAACGAACTTAACAACTTAATAGCAGTTATTATATGGAGTAATTATATTTATTTTTATTTTCTAACTCTTGTAATACAACTGTTTTAAATTATTGATTAAATATAAATTTATTTTCCCTGGTACCTACCTATGAACAATACAGTTTAAATATTTGTAAAAATCAAAAAGGAATATACAATAGTTATTTTATTGTATATAGTTAATTACCTAGATAATATTCATCACCATAAGACAATAATTATTCAAACCGAACATCACACGTGTACAACGCGAAGAATAATATTGTCACATTTTGCTACATCAACTATATACGGGCTCTATAGATCTATTATAGTATACAAATCAAACGTAGACAGTTTTACGTATCACTACATCAGAATTCAAATGGAAAAAAAAAATTATTATTATTCTCCACAAAAACTGAAAACGTAAACAAAATTTGACGTCTTTGGACAAAGCAAACTGCATTGGCACACCAACATATTACCAATAAGGTGTGCTTAAAAATTTGGAAAATACAATAGTAAAAAAAATCATCTGTCGTCCGTTTTCGGTATTAGAACCGTAAATAGTCTGCAGTGCGTGTCGATGACACCGGACGACGACAATAATAAACGAAAAAAATGAAACTGAAATTAAAACGTGCGTTTTTTTCTATAGTTCTTACCGCCGGCGTTTTTGTTGTTGTTTTTGAGGTTGAGCCAGAAATTTTTTATCCACTGTTTTTGCGACTTGTCCCAAAGCTGAGCCATTTTTCACTGGGGCATTCCTCCACGGTTACTGACAGCAGGGAGACGAGCGCGCGGGACCAGAGACTAGACGAGACTAATAGTATAATGTAGTGACTATACTGCAACTATGCAGTTACTCTCTCTCTCTCTCTCTCTTTCTCTCTCTTTCTCTTTCTCACACTATATATTTTTTTTGTATATATGCGAGCGGTGCAGCTGCTCACGGTCGTCTTAAGAGAGGGGAAGAAAACGAAAAAAGAACAGAGATGGCAAGAGCGGGATCGAAAGATGAATGATAAACAAATTTAATAGAGAAAAAAAACAACAAAAAAAACTAGGAAATTGTGAAAACTTGAGATAAGCAGTACACGACTATGCAGGTGAACGCTTGCGGTACGAATGTTGCGCGATGATGCGGACGTGCAGTATAATATAATATACGATATTATCGCGCGGTCGCGGGACCGCAGCCAACAGTCAACAGCCTACTGAAGCCCCGAAGGCGGCGGGAGCGTTCCGTCCGAAACGGTCTCCTCTCTCGGTTTCCCGGCGGCACGTGTATACGGACGTTCGCAAGTGTGCGTGTGTGCGTGTGCGCGCGCGAGCGAACAAGCAAGCAAACAGCAACGGCGGCGGCGGCGGCGTCAACGGCGCGCGCGTTTACACTGCCTATAATATTATGTCGTCGAGTATTATTGTGGTGTTATGGTGCCTCCCCACGCGCGCGGCGATTCGTGAGCGCTTTGCCGGCGATAGCATTGCGTGCGAGCGTATTTAGACTGCTTCAGAGTGCGTTTGTGCGTGCGCTGCGTAAATAGTACTGTGTATATATATACAAAGATGTATGTGTATGTGCGTTCACGCACCCGCGATAAGAAGAACCGCGGAGTGCCGACTGGAACCGAATGCGGCCGAACGACGGCGCGCGCGGGGATCGGCGTGGAGAGGTGGAGGAGCAGCGCGCTGCGCGTATTTACGCTCGCGAACCGTAGGGGAAAAATAATAACGTAACAAACCCAAAAATACGGAGGTCATCGAACGACGACAAAGCCCTCGATTCGTCCTTGTTCCCCTGCATGCGACTAAATGCACACTACACGGTGGTGAATTGGGGGGATGGGGTGGTATGGTGGTTGGGGCGAAAAACGACAGCAACAACATTAAAATAATATTGCTGCGGTAAGAATAAAAACTTATCGGCGACCTCAGCTGCTGCTGCCGCGGCCCACCTGCCGGGCACACGTGAAGCATAGGGTTGTTTCGTATGGGAAACGATAGCCCTAGCCACAGCCCGCGAAAGAACACAAGATACATGCCGGCGTGGCGGGTGTCTCATCTTGGTCCCGACGCATATCATTAAAATATTATACAACCTAGGCGAATGACGATGATAGTCATCGCCGGTATTAATAGAACGATTTTTTTTTCAAGAAAGGAAAAACAAGGTTTTGATTTTTTCGTTACGAGTTCTGCGGTAACGACCGCGGGACACCGGTGCGTTGACCCCGGTGAATCACACGCACCGCGCACGCACACGCGAGCCAATAAGTCGGGCATTGGGGTCGGGATACCAACAACGACGACGACGACGACGACGAAAACGATCGCGGCGGCGTTTATTCTCCGAAAAAAGGGGCGCGCCTGCATTTGGACGGCCCGGGGTTCGTTGACACGGCCGTTCGGGAGCGAGCGCGTGTGCATCTGCCGAATTTTTATTTTATTGTTGTTCTTGTCGAAAACGCAGTACGCATGCACGCAGGAAGGCAATGCACGTTTCATTGCCGATGGAGAGAAAGAGTGAAAGACCGGGACGGGACGAGAGCGAGAGAGAGTGAGCGAACAGTGATAAAAAAATCAACACAACAAATTACACATGATCGCGCGCTTGCATAGTATAATAGTATATAATAACAATAGCGATTGTAATAATATTACAATAATATCATATTAGGTTTTGATATAGGTATAAAATTATAATAGTGTATAATATTAATAATAATAATATGGCATAGGCCATATCGGCGGCGGACATATGTGGGAGTCGTGCGTAACGCCGAATGCTTGTACTCTGATACCGTCGTGTGATTGTCACAGTACTACTATAAATTACTACTACTAATAATAATAGTAATAATAATATATGGGTCACGAGAAAATAAAAAAAGCTACCAACAATTATTATTATCGCCAATTATTACAATCGTCGCGTGGTGTAGAGTAGTGTGCACACTGCACACACGTCACACACGGACGCTTTAACTATTATCATGCGTGCTGTTGCTGTTGGTCGTATCGCGCACATATAATGTCGTCGATGCGGTTTTGAAAAATAAACGGCTTAAAAAAGAGATAACAATAATATCATTTTGTGCGTACGTCGACGGCGGAGAGATTATGCTATGCAGGCAGTAGTGGGGGACAGATTGGAGTGTGTATAGTACTATAGTTATGCAACGCGCAAATCGTAACACGAAATATTTTCATTAGGCGCGACGGGCGGTTGAGAGTGCGGGCATCGCGGTGCAGAACATGCGTGCGGCGGCGGCTAGTGTAACCTTTCCCAACGCATCGGTTCGGCGGCGGCGCGGGCCGGCGGTTGTGGAGGAGCTGGACGGCCGTTTCGGTGGGCCTCCGCCGTCGGTAGAAACGCAGGTCCGACGCCTACACGTGGGCCCCCGCGAACGGCGCAGCGGCCACGCGAGGCCGCCGCCGCCCGAACACCGACCTCGACAACTCGGCGGAGAGTGTGGAACGCGTTCGTATAATATTATAATGTAAACCCCCCTCACCAGTACACCCTCCCACCCGTATACCCCTTTCCCACCCACCAAACGTCGCCGCCGACACGCACTACACAATAATACATTTATTATTCGCACTGGAAATTCGCTTCTTTTATATTATATATGTATTTTTTTTATTTTTTTAGTAGACGCTGTCCCCGCCGCCGCCGCCGCCACTGACGGTCGTCGTGCAGTCAGTCGCCGCCGCTTTTGTCTCTGTACGCCAAACACAGACGGCACCGAAGGTTTCGAAAAAAAAAAACAGCACCTATATGGCTATATATACGTATTATATTATATTATACTGTACACTGCTTCGATATTTTTGCGCGTAGTCAGTCATTTATAAATTTTATCTCCTCGTAAGTATGTGTGAGTGTCGTACTGTCGTGGAAGTCTAGGTGCTGGTCATGTCGTACGCGCTTACACGACGCATCGTGGTAACACGTATATTTTGTGTTCATAATAATAAATATATCGTATTACCCGGTACGACGACGACGCCCCATTTGGGTAAAAGAGAGTTCGTTGCCCTCGAAAACAACCCCTAATGCGTCGGGTCGACCGGTCCGGTAGGCAATACTCGAAAAGATTGGGAGGGGGTAGTAAATGGGTGTGTGTTCATATTGTTATTATTGTGTGGTACAAGAGCTGGGCGGCGATTGACGGATAATATCCGTGAGATGTCCGCCCGAAAACCAGCTTTACCGATCGGTTTTGACAATGAGAACCAAAAATAAAATAAAGAAAATCATGTGTAAGAAAGGACTATGGTGATAACAATATAGACGGGTAATGGGTATAATGTATAGATAATGTGCGCAGGAACATTATAGTAATATATTATATAAACAAACAAGGGTCATAAAATATGTAATGCTCATTGTAATTTGTAACCGTTTACGATCGGTATCGGTTCCGCGCGTATTACGCGCACCGCGTTATCGTCAGACCGGCTACCTGTCGCCGTATTACGTAGACGATACATATAGAATAACCTATATTATAGGTAATATTATGTATATATATTACATTGGCAATGCCCGACCTTTTTCGTAATTTAATAATTCCATATTATTTAGTTTAGCCAACAATTTTGTTGATATTAATTATTTATCCTTTGATTTTTCAATCGTTTTGTTTAAACTAGACCTAGACACTTAGTACTATACTTATAAATAGTTAAACGTTAAAATTGCAAATCATGTCAAGTTTATTCGCAAGTCAAGGGGCTATATTTTTCATCGTTTCCCATTGACTTCTGCGTTTGGACGACTGCACGAGCGGTATATTCGAAATAATGGTTTTATGGTAATGTAGTACGCATGCTAATGCAATACCTACCTACTGCCTACTTATTATATTATGTATATTTTTTATTATTAAAATATTTTCTAATGAAAAATAAAAATCCGCTTTCACAAACAAATTAATTATTATAACTACAATATTAAAAAAAAAACCTTCTTCGAGTACTTACAATAATTATGTATTATATTAATTAATTAAGTATATCACGACGGAATTGATAGGCTTAAACCCGCTTAAAAATAAAATTATGATCTACTTTAGTAGTTAATAGTATAATTTATTTTATATCTAATTATTTACAACTCATAAATTATTAACATACATTTTTAAAAAATCAGAAATAATTATTTTTATTGATCTCTTTTATTATTATTAGTATTATTTGTTAGTTATAAATTTATAATATTTATATCTTTACACTAATGTATAATGTATACAAGTTATATCAAATCATTATAATTTAAAATGGCTAATTTTTAATGTGTTCTTGTCATTTATCGGTGTGGCAATAAATTACTATGAAAATAATTCAATGTTTTCTGATAACCTTTAAACTTATCCATCGTTCAGAAATAAAATCAGGAAATGTCGGACTAATGCAGTCCAGACATGCGTAAGTATAATACGACTTAAATTAAACTACTGATGGTCAATTATTTTTTACTAAATTAATGCTGCTACGCAATATTTAACATAATGTTCTTAAATTTAATAACAAATTAAACCAAACGTTGCCCCAAATCTCGATTTTGCATTGGTGTATATTATATTTAATAATCCCATAAAACTTATTAGGTACACTAGTAACTAGTAGCTTTATACTTTTATTCCTATAACTATATATTAGTATTGATTATGGTTTTGCAAAATCATTGGAATATTTAGCAATTCCGTTCAATAAATTATTAAAATTTAACTTTGATTTAAATGTGCACAAACTCTAATAAAAAAACATGTCCGAGAAATTTTACGTATCAAAAATAACCATTTGAAGAAAAAAGCTATATTTAATTATAACTTGTAAGTATAATGCAGAATGCCGAGATTTTAATGTCCAAAAAATTGCAAAAAGACTAAAAAAGTTAAATTTGTTGAAAAATTAAAAAATTACATTATGATAATCAACAGAATTAGTAGGTATTGCTTAAAACACATGGTTCACTTATAAAGCAATTTTTTTAAACACAAGAATAAAATGATATTCTAACAAAATCCCACCTCTACTCATAAATAACTTATAACTTATAATATTTAACTTCGCAAAAAAAACTCTCCTATACACTCTTCATCAAATTACTACACCAACTCGCCACGTCACATACCATATACGTGTATCGCTGAACTCTTTCTGTTTTCAGTTCCAAAAACTGTTATAGGACTTATGGAATTTGGTTGCTAAAGACTATCGGGATAAATAAAACAATAGGTACCTGGTTAACAGTAAAACTTTTAATTTAAGTATTGCGACAACGAATGATTTTCTTGACTATCTAATCAGAGTGCATAATAATTATTTAATGGGTATATCATTATAATATTATATCGTTGAAGGCATTAAACAATTTATTGTATTTTAAGTTATAACAACCAGTCGTTGATCTGATTGATGTTGGTAAAAAAAAAATATATAAAAGGCATGGAGTTTAAAAAAAAGTATTGTTGACTTAGGTCAAGATAATTATAAATTTTATGTATTTAAATGATATCTGGGTAAGGGTAAAATGAAGATTTATTGACATAAATCAGACAAAATTAAAGTATAGGATCAATTACTTCGCTATGGAGATAT